AGCCCATGAAATTGGGGACCCCCACCTGGGAACTGGCATCCCTACATGCAACTCAGTTGGTAGTAAGTCACCTAGAGGTTGGTAGTAAGTCACCTAGAGGCCTAGGGTTGCCAGCCTCTAGGTGGGACATGGAGATCTCCTAGAATTACAACTGAACCCCAGACAATAGAGGTCTATCTCCCTGGAGAAAATGGCTGGTTTGGAAGGTGGACTGTATGGCATTAGATCTGGCTGAGACCTCTCCCATCCCCAAACCCTGCCCTCCGCAGACTCTACCACAAAATCACTAGAAACTTCTCAACCTGGAGTTGGCAACCCTGGGCTCAGGCCTGGCCCTAATGAGTCCTCCCTCAAAGGCTAAAATAGGCCTGGAAAGGACCTTGCCTCCTCCCCTGCCTTTTACTGACAGAACCCAGCCTGGATACTGTGTCACCGTGTCACTCAGTGTCACTGAGGGAGTCTGTTGCTTAAAGTTACAAGAGCTCCTTTTATCATTTTGTGATTTTTAAAAGACCCCAATTTATTTTTACACTAATCTTCTATTAAGGGATAGGATTTTTTTCTCTCTACTCTTGTTGGCAACACTGTCTATTAAGAAAAACTTACACCCTAATTCAGATGCATGGTCAAAAAGCTGTTAATACAATTGCTTAATGATTGGAAGATATTACCTCCCCCCCCCACCCCGGGTTGGCTTAAAACAAGAATCAAGTCTGTTGAAACCTACTGCTAATAGAAAGGGTGGATAGCTACACATACTCTGAACAGATTGATAGGATCGATAAATGCTTGTTCCCTTGGCCTTCTTGTGTTTGTCAGTGGTTTCAGATGTATTAAGTTTCCTTACTCGAAAGCCAGTCGAATCCGACTCTAGGGTTGCGGTGCTCATCTCTGTTTCAAAGCCGAAGAGCCAGCGCCGTCCGAAGACGTTTCCATGGTCATGTGGCTGGCATGACTAAACACCTTCCCCAATAATATGTGTGAAATCTGATAACCCTCCCCATATTCCATGTCTTCCCATTTTCTGAACCTGGCAAGATAAATTTTAAAAACATACAAACATATACTTTTGTGATCTTTTTATCCTGGTAGAACAGTTAAACACTAATACTATCAAAACTGTATTTACATATTAAGAAGACAGAAACTTTGCTGACTGCATGAGGTGGGAGGGAATATGTTTTCCTGTGTGTCCAAGGCTCAGGGTTACAGCCAGAAAGCTGACTCATACAAAAGTTGCAGTTATTATTTCCACTGCTTCTTATACCTCACCTCCACCTTATCCATGAGAAAAAACAACAAATAAAAGTGTGTTGAATGTGAAATTCTCAGAATTTATTGGCAACAATATAAATGCTAACGGAATTTTTTTTAACAGAATATAGATGTAGTTCCGGCCCACTGTGTTGCTCTGGCAATCATTAAGTGGCAAAATGGCCTATAAAACGGTAATGATCTTTAGAGCAGGGCTTTCCCTCTCCTGTGGGTATATATATAACATCATGACTACTGGGAAACCATTATGGGCTTTCTGACAGAGAAATCACACAGCGAAGCACACAAAATAATTTCATATGAAATATATTAGCTTCAAATAACTGCTGACTTTAGGCCTTGGATTAATCCTGGACTATTGGGAGTCTTCCAGTAAATCTGTACCACTTTGTAATTTGGTTCTTCTTCCAGATCCTGAAACAGAGTGAATTAGGATGACTTGGGTTGTGAAGTCCATGGATAGCGATTCTTCAATCTAGACCTTCTATGGTTTATAGTCCATGAGGTAAGTGGCTGGCACAAGATGTTGCTCTGACATGGATAAACAACTGGGGTCTTAGTATTAACATTAGAGGCTGATATTTACACACCCAGTTTCTTCTGTGCCTCAACATCCAAACACACAATCTATGGTAAATCACAGCTTCATACTCCAGCAGTGTGATTCTAAGAACATTGTGGAACCTATTTTATGGAGCTCCACAGGGTGCAATTCTATCCCCCATGATTTTCAGTCTCTGTGTATTAGGACAAATCATTTGTAGTTTTGGGGTTGGTTGTCATCAATATGCTGCTGCTACTCATCTCTATATATCCTTATATAGGTATATCTATATAACTTGAGAGCCAGTTTGGTGTGAGAACCAGTTTGGTGTAGTGGTTAAGTGCGCGGACTCTAATCTGGGAGAACCGGGTTTGATTCCCCACCCCTCCACTTGCACCTGCTGATGTGACCTTGGGTCAGTCACAAGCTCTGGCACAGCTGTCCTTGAAAAGAGCAGTTTGTGTCAGAGTTCTCTCAGCCCCACCCACCTCACAGGGTGTCTGTTGTGGGGAGTGGAAGGGAAAGGAGTTTGTAAGCTGCTCTGAGACTCCAAGTGAAGGGCGGGGTATAAATCCAATCTCTTCTTCTTCTTCTTCTTCTTCTCATCATAATTGTGTGCTGACTCATGGCAACCCAGGACCACGAGGCTTTCAAGGCAAGAGATGAGAACAGGTAGTTTGCCCTTGCCTTCCTCTGCATGGCAGCCCTGGTCTTCCCTTGGTGGTCTCCCATCCAAGTACTAACTAGGCAACCACAGCATCATCAGGACTGAACCGAGGAGAAGAGGTCAGAGTAGAATAACACACACAGCAAAACACACAGACACACAAGCTGTTCCTTTTCAATTTTATATTGCAATAACTTAGAGTCTAAAATGTATTTTATGCATCAAGGTTACCTGTTGAAAGTCAGCCAATGTTTAACTTCCCAGTAAGATTAGATTAGATAGATCAGTACCAGTATTTTTCAGCTGTGCAAGGTAAAAAAAAAATTCTTCTAGCTGATTTCCCTGTTCTGTCCAAGAGTATCTTAATAGTATTCATGTACATTCTCTGCTGCTGTGAACATCATTTACAGAAGTCCAGAGCAGGTAAGTTATCTCTAATTCCTCAATAAATGCTAATCTGGATTTAAAACAAAGCTGCTAAAGTGGTAGATGAAATGGGAAGATGGTAAAAATGAGCAACAATTTGAGATGTACAATCAGGTTGTATATAAGATGTCAATCCATGCCATCCCATGTAGAGTTACACTGTTCTAAACCCATTGAGTTCAGCAAAAGTAGGGGTAACTCTGTTTAGGACTGTATTGCAAATAATAACTGGAATTATTTGGCTTTTAAAAGCAAGTTATATGAATGAAGGCATAGCAAGTTCCAGTCTGTTATCAGATTCCTCAACACATAGTTTAGTCTTAAAAAGCACCAGGGGGAGTTGGATTGTTGGGATGGTCGCAATACCTGGGGAGTATGTTAACTCTTCCCATCTATTCTGTTTATCTAATCAAAATCAGATCCTCTCCTGGGGCAGCTATTTTCTCTGGTAGCCCAAGGCCTATAGTTTATGTATGTTTCAACTGTCAGAGAGAACGTTACCCTACTCTTCCCCAGCATATTAGCCCCAATTCAACTTCTCCTTCCCTATGGCTGCTTTTTAAGGCTAAATTTCTCTCTGCCAAGATTCCTTCAGTCCATGATACTACCCCTTGATATCATGATACCAGTTTGGTCATGCTATTTGCATCTTTGTCTGACCATAAGGTTGACGCACGGTGGGACATCTAACCAGGGATCCACAACAAAACATGCAGATTGATTCTCAGTTGTGAAGTGTGATAGTGTGGGGAATAAAGAGTTAAATCTGAAATATGTGTGTGCTAATTTGCACCACTAATCTGACTTTGTGACCTTGAGGCAGTGGCTATCTCTCTTTGTAGAGTTGCTACAGGAGTAAGAGAGGAGGGACCACTGTGTCAGCCTGAGCTCCTTGGAGGAAGGGAAGGGTAACAATGTAATAACTCAGGGCGATTTCTCACTAGAGCTGCCTCACAGCGCAGCACCGTTTGCCCCAACACAAACATGTCAATTTCACACCCAAGGCTGCGGGGGCTGCATTTGACCCGCGGCTTTGCTCGATTTCCTCCGCAGTTTCATGATCCTCAAAAACCAGGATCACGAAACTGCGGAGAAAATCGGGTGAAGCCTCGAGTCAAAATACAGCCCCGGAGCTTCGGGTGTGAAATTGACATGTTTGTGTCAGGGCAAAGGCGGCTATGCTGCGAGGCAGCTCTAGTGAGAAATCGCCCTCGGTCTATACAGTCACCCCAAGCCCATGCTCCTAACTACCAAGTTGTGGCAATTAAAGATGGATCACTTTTAAAATCATTTTAATACTGCAGAAGAACCTTGACTTTTGGATCCTCCCATGATCTGTGAATCTTAAGTACCCCTCTGTCCTTGAATGTTACAAATTTTATTCTGTAGGTTGTCTTTGTATTTTTTCAGTTGTCTTAAGCTCACATTTGATGCATTGAGAACTGAGCCCATCACAAATCAAATCATCTGCTTCTTATGAACTTTATGCTTGCAATAAGATTACCTGAGACCTTCTGCCTGATCTTTTCATAGTCATCCCCAGTGGACAATTCTTGGCTTTCCATCCCTATTCCCTTGTGTCTGCCATTTTCTCTTCCCTGTACCACTACTTTTGGGTTTTTTTGCTGGCCTTTTGAAAAGAACAATAGTAGCTATATTGCTATAGTATATTGATATAGTGTTATACGGACAGAATTATTACCCATTTTTTTTAAATACTGGCAAAAATCACTGGTGTGTGTGTGTGGAGGGAGTGGTGGGCACGAAAGAATGGGGAGAGAGAAAATGGCATCAGATGTGGGCAGTGAGGTTTGGAAATCTACATCTTCCTGTCCAAGTGTAGTTAACCTGCTTTAACTCTGTTGTTTTCAGAAACATCCAATGAAAACAGGTTCTGGAAACATCAGAGCAGAAGAAGGAAACTGTGGTGGGTTATGGGAGGGGAATGGGAGGAGAAGGTCATATGAATACTGCAAGACACCATGCTGCAGTCTGAGAGCCAGGGCAGAGAAAATTACCCTTGTGGAAACAGCCACAGATAACTAATCTGTCTTTTTTTTTTTTTTAAAGAGACCATTCACTGAAAACATGGATGCATTACAGAATTTCACCCAGTCTCTGGAAAAAACTTTCAAGGATGTATTCCTCAACTATATGAATAACTGGCGTCAAAATACCACAAATGAACAAAAGGAATTGCAAAGAAGACTTGAAGCTGAAAACCTTGATTATGTCATTCTGTATCTCATGGTGATGATTGGCATCTTCTCCTTTATTGTTGTGGCGATCTTAGTGAGCACTGTGAAATCAAAAAGACGAGAACACTCCAATGACCCTTATCACCAATATATTGTTGATGACTGGGAGGGAAAGTACAAAAGCCAGATCCCACTCCAGAATGATCTTAAGTGCACCATTCATGAAAATGTTGGTGTGAAGGACAAACTCAGCCCAAAATCTGCTTGAGAAATCAACACAACATGAATTGAGAGGGATGGAAGAATAATTCACGGTGTCTGTGGGACGGGGGAGAATACTAGGTCATTGTAACTTTCAAAACAAAGTTAAATATTAAACAGTGTCATGTAAATATTTCCAGGCAAATGGATGTGTTATCTGTTTTAAGCCTATGTGATCTAAATGCAAAGTATGAGGAAGTTGATTTGTGTTTTTACATTCCAGGCAACAATCCTTGTGAGCTGCTTAAGAAAGCTAAGTGAAAATTCCAGGTTAAAAAATCCACAAAATGTTTCTCCTGCTTTACTAAAGAAACTGGGAGAAAACATCCAATTATGCAGTAATCATTTCAACCAGATCTTCATGAAACAGTTTCTGGGCCTGCAGGGAAAAGCCTTTAAATGGGACTGTGCAGAACAGCCTGAAGCCAGGCTGGTGGGGAGACTTGTCCCCACGGGCTCAGCTCCATTGTGCTCCCTTGTGCAGCCCAGTTAGGGTTGCCAGCCCCCAGGTCCCAGTGGGGTTTCCCCGGCTTTTGGGGCCTTTGATCCACTGCCGGCCAGCTGGCTAGCGGGGAAACCCCACCCTCAAATACCTTCTGAGTGACATCATTGTGCCGAGGACGTTGCACAGTTTCTTTTTAGCAAACTCTATGGTTTTGAAGGCAAAAAACCCATAAAGTTTTGTCCCAAAACCAGAGCATTGCACGCAGTGTCACTGACATGATGACATCACTGGCATGATAATGTCACTTCTGGGTGATGTCATCATCTCGGGGACATTGCCTGTGACATCCCGCCCACCCCCAGAATGCCTCCTAAATCCCCCCACCATGAAGGCAAGGGGACCTAGCAACCCTAGGTTTAAAGGGGCTTCACAAGAGAGCTCTGTTGGGTTCCCTGTGCAGCCCCTTCAAACAGGGTCGTGCAAGAGAGCCTGAAGCTGGGCAGGCAGGAAGACTGCTCCCCACCAGCTCAGCTGTTTTCCAGGTTGTCTTCTGCAATGCTTTTAACGTTTAAAGGGACTGCACAAGATAGCCCAAAACTTGCTCCCTGCTGCTTAGCTGTTTTTCAGACTTTCTGCAAACCCTGCAGAAATTTATTTATTTATTTGATTTCTACCCCACCCTCCCAGCCAAAGCCGGCTCAGTCTATTTCAATGGGGTTTGCAAGGCCACGAACCACGAACTCATACATGGGAGGCAAGCATAATATCTGCTGCCCCTACTCTCAAATTTTCTGTTTCCTAGTTGGAAGGGAATTTTAAAGTCCATCACCTTTGAATCTCCTGCTCAGTGGAGGAAATTCAGATCTAGAGGACTCCTGCCCTAGACCTCTAGCGAGGGAATACCCACCACCACACCCCTGAGAATTGGTTCCATGGCTGTTACCATGAAGAAGTTTCTCCTAATGTTCAACAAAAATTTACTCTCCTGTAATTTAAGCCCATCAATCTATTCTTGCCCTCTGGACCAGCAGAGAAGAAAGTGCTGTGAGATGAACTAGGCAAATGAAAAAACAAACAAACACTAATTATCAGGGCCCAGATGACATCCACACGAGAGTTCTTAAGGAATTCAAATATGAAATTGTTGAACTACTTACCAGTATATGTAACTTGTCACTAAAATCAGCTACTGTACTAGTGGCATGGAGAGCAGCAAATGTTACACTGATTTTTTAAAAGGCACCCAGAGGAGAACCAGCAAATTATAGATCAATTAGCCAAACATCTGTCCCAGGCAAATTAGTAGAAACTATTATTAAAGATAGAATTATTAAGAACACAGAGGAACAAAGCCTGCTGAGAGAAAATCAGCATGGCTTCTGTGAAGAGAAGTCATACCTTACCAGACTTTTGGAGTTCTTTGACAAAGCAAACAAGCATTTAGATAAATAATCTTGATCTGGTAGATATTATATTGTATACTTGGATTTCCAAAAAGCTTTTGACAAAGCACCTCACCAAAGACTCCTGAGTAAACCCAGAGGTCATTTCCGGGGGGGAACGCGGGGGAACGCAGTTCCCCCGGGTGAGGTGCAGGGAAGCGGGGCACATGACGAAGCCCCGCCCCCTGCTTCCGGCCGCCCCGCTTCCAGCCCTCATTCAGCCAGGAGGAGGCAGGAGAAGAGGGAGGGTAAGTTGCTTCCTCCCTGCCTCTAACCACCCCTGCCTGCCTGGGGCCAGGGAGGGCCTTGGCGGGGCTTCCTCGCACTCCTGCTGGCCTTGCAGGTCCACCGCCGGGCCCCTGATGTCAGGAGGTGTGGCATATGCTAATGAGTTATGCTAATGAGTTCCCCTAGCTCTTTTTCTATGAAATGACCCCTGAGTAAACCTAACAGTCATGAGGTAAGATGATGGATCCCCTGATAGACTAAAAAATGATTAAATTACAGGAAACAAAAAGTAGGATGTTCCAGTTTATAGTCCCTGAGGTAAGTGGCTGGCACTATGATCTAATGCTTAAATTTCAAGAAGTAGAAGATATTACTCTGACACTGGAAAAAGCACTGAAAAAAGGAGACTCAGTGCTAGGGATTCTTAGAAAAATGGTTGAAAATACAAATGCCAATATTATAATATCTCTATATAGTTCTATGGTGCAGCCTCATTCGGAATACTGTGTGTAGTTTTGGTTGCCAGATCTCAAAAAAGCTATCGCACAGCTGGAAAAAGTACAGAAGAGACAACCAATCTATTTAAGGGGGTAGAGCACCTTTCATCTAATGAAAGGCTGAAGAGACTGGTAGTTTTCATTTTAGAAAAAAGAAGACTAAGGGAGAACATGACAGAAATTTATAAAATTATGCATGGGGCAGAGAAAATGGATAGAGATGACTTTTTCTGTCTCTTCCAAAATACTTGGGGACACCCACTGAAGCTGATGGACAATAGATTCAGGGTAGATAAAAGAAAGTATTGCTTTACTAAATAAGTGATTAAAATGTGCCATTCACTGCCATAGGATATAGTGATGGCTACAGGCATAGATGATTTTAATAGGGGATTAGACAGGGGCACTGTAATGTTATTGCTGTAAAACATCACCTACTATATAGGTCTATGGATTGCATTTCAAAATTAAATCAAGTGATATATTCTGATACATACACAATGAAAAAGGTTTCCTGTGCAAGAACAAAAGCTGAGGCGACTGTCAACAGAGTGCTTGCGCCATACTCTGTTGCTATGGCAATTCAGGACTTAAATGAAATATTCTAGGTGTTTCCACAGATGGCAGTAACCAGGGGTCACAAAAACTATTCCCTGTTGTGATACAATATTTTCATAAAGTTCATTATATTAAATCAAAATTGATACAGATGAATAGCATGCTCAAGGAAAAATTGGAAATGACAGTGGATTGCATTTCACAAGCGTTAAGTGTGTTGCATTCTCTGGTGACAACATGAACACTAATTTTGGAAGAATCAGTTGCTCTGGAAGCAAAAATGTCTTCTGACTTGAAGCATGAATAAAGAGAGAATTAGTTGGTGTTGGTTGTCCAACACACATCCTTCCCAACTGTATACAGCATGGAGCAGACACAAGGTCTGTAGACATAGAATGCATCATAATGAAGATTTACAAACATTTATCCATATATACGGTAAGATCAGAAAATCTCAAGAGTTACTGTGAATTCATTTATATAAATTACCATTATTGTCACATGTCAGAACAATCCCTCTTTCCTGCCGTAGAACGGTTACTACAGATGTTTCCTGGTGTGAAATCTTTTTTTTTTCCTGTCTCAATCTAATCCACCATCCATACTGAAGAAATTATTTGAAAATAATTTAGCAGAAGCATATCTTGGCACTTGTATTTCTTAATGTCAATGTTCCATACAAAAATCCAGGAAATAGAAAGGGGGAAAATCAATTTTGGAGGTTTTCACTGACTTGCAGTCAGTTTGTCAAATGTTGCAACACAGAATTGAAGCTGCCTTTTTTTCCTCTGAAAACAAGAGATCCTAAACAAAGGAAAGAAGGATGGATTAGAAAAAGAAGTCGGTCTGTTTATGGAAGAAGCTTCTTGTACAAATTGTTTTGGGAATATTTGCAAAAATCGAGTTTCTTTTAATGAATTTGACTGTATTCATTGGATGACCCTTTCATTTTATTATGTTTAGCATACCATAAAATACTTTAGAGATCAAGATGTGATGGTGGATGATGTAAAATGTTTTGACCAGTTCTATAACCTGAGGACTTTTGTTGAAAGTGCTCAAATAGATGAAGACTTTGAAAGTGTGCCAGTGAGTGTCAAATGGGTTAAACACTTTCAAAAGAGCTACAATGCATACTACCATTTTGAGTTGTTTAAAGTAGCACAATTTTCCCCCTGCATTCCAGGACATAATGCAAATATTGAGAGAATATTTTCTTTAATGAGACAGATGACAGGAACAGATTTAGGTGGGTAGCCATGTTGGTCTGAAGCAACAGAACAAAAGTCGAGTCCAGTGGCACCTTTAAGACCAACAAAGTTTTATGTAAGGTATAAGCTTTTGTGTTCCTGCACACTTCTTCAGATTATGTTGTATGCTAATTTGCTGCTCACTCTCTACCTATATGTTTGTTCTGGTAAGTTCCATTTCAATATATCTGAAGAAGTGTGCAGGTACACAAAAGCTTATACCTTGAATAACGTTTTGTTGGTCTTAAAGGTACCACTGGACTCAAATTTTGTTAAGGAACAGATGTGTCATTGAAGCTATAATGGGTGTTCTGTTACTGCAGTATAACCTATGTGACTATTCACGCCTTCAGTTCTACAAATACCTACTTGAACAACTAACTCTACTTGGGGAGATAAAATAGGTGCCACTTCATCATGGGTATATACAAGTACTGGTGTTATAATCATAGAAATGCTTAGTGAAAGGTAAATTGGTATTTAAGTGGGGGACACTTCTTTCGTTACCTGCTTACTGTGTTATTTCTTTTCCATTTCAGTGCAAACTTGCCATTTCAGTAAAAATAAGCAGCTATGTATATCAACTTATTAATAAATAGTTTTCCATGTACAGGCATGTGTGTGTGCGTGCATAGAAGCCCATCCCATCAACAATGGTTGGGTGATTTCTGCAACCCTGTTTCATTTGCCAGCAAGAAGTCCTTACTTGTCAGGGCATCCAAGAAAAAAAAATTCTTGTTGGTGAACAGTGTCCTCTTTTTTCACTCACAAAATCTGGTCATCCTCACTTTTCTGGTAAGTGTACCCACTTTACCGCATTCTTATTTTTAACAGTATATTGGGAAATCTGGAAATAGACTTCTCAGTGTTCCATTCCATGGCATTAAAAGTAATATTTGCAAAACAAAACAAAAACTCATAAATGCCTGGCCCCCAATTAGTCATGTGGGGCTGGTGCCTTACTGGCCAGGCAGGGCTGGTGCCTCATAAGCCAGTATCATCATTATCACCATAGAATTTGCACTGGCATGGTTGTGCTGTATCAATGGGGACAGGGTAAATGTTCGAACAGCCTGGAACGGGCTGGAATGGGCATTAAACAAACAATAGTACTGTAAAAAAGTGGGATGCATTACAGACATTCGGGAACAATATTTTAGAATATGGAACTCGTGTGCTTTCATTAACCCTTTCCAGGCCAAAATGCCTGTGGAACACCCAGGAACAGGCACTAAACAAATCATAGTACTGCAAAAAACAGTGGGATGTGTAACAAACACTCAAGAACAATATTTTAGAAATGAAAATGTGGAACTCTCATGCTTTTATTAACCTTTTCTCAGCCAAATGACTCCTGAACACCCCTGAACAGGCCAGAATGAGCATTAAACAAACAATAGTACCACAGATACTTTAGAACAATATTTTAGAGATGAAAAAGGTGAAATGTCATACTTTAATTGTAAGGCAACCCAGCATGCCTGGACATTGGGGATTACTACTCTAGATGCATATATGTGATCTTCTTAATGAACGGGATGCCTCCGTCTCACCTGGGAGCTTCTTTCTGACTCCTCATTCTCTTCCTGTACCATTTGGGAGCTTCTTTCTATTAGAATATCATTTCTGCCCTGCAGGTGTTTTGTTAGAAAATTTCCAATTTCAGTTTGGTTTCTTGTGTGGTGTGTGTGGGGGGTGAAACTGTCTTGTATGCCATGCCAAATTACCTTTGCTGGAAAAGGGTTAATAAATAGGGTAGCTAACCACCAGGTGGTAGCTGGAGATATCCAAGGATTAGCCAGTTTGTTGTAGTGGTTAAGAGTGGTGGACTCTAATCTGGAGAACCAGGTTTGATTCCCCACTCCTCCAGGTGCCAGCCAGCTGGGTGACCTTAGGTCAGTCACTGTTCTCTCAAGAGAAGTTCTCTCAGAGCTCTCTCAGCCCCACCTATCTCACAGGAAGGGAAGGAGATTGTAAGCCGCTCTGAGACTCCAAGTGAAGGGGGGGGGTTAAATCCAACTTTTCTTCATCTCCTCCTCCTTCTCCTCCTCCCCTCTAAATGACAGATGGATAAAATGGCAGTTTTGGAGAATGGATTCTATAGTCGTATACCCTGCTCAGGTCCCTCCCCTCCCCAAACTCCATGCTCCCCAGATTCCGCCCCCATATCTCCAGGAATTTCTCAACCAAGAGCTGGCAACCCTATAAATAAAAGAGTGAAATTTCAGTGTTTTCATTTCTAAAATATTCTTTTCAACTGTCATTAACACATACCACTGTTTTCTTCAGCATTACTTGTTTAATGCTAGTTCTGGCCTGTTCAATGCTGTTTCGAAGCCATTTGGCTGAGAAAGGTGTATCATTTCAGTCCTTTTACTTCTAAAATATTGTAATGGAACATCTGTAATGCATCCCACTGTTTTTTGGGTTTTTTTTTTGCAGAACTATCATTTGTTTAATGCTTGTTCCAATCTGTTATTGAAAAGTATGCAGACGGAGAGTGATTTCAGCAAAGCGTACTTTATTCGATCAGGAACAAGACGACTTTGGCCGGCTCGCAGGCCGGCTTATATTCCCCAAGAAATTGCCACCCAAAACCCCCCCCCACTTCCCAATAGGTTATTTACAGTGGCCGAGAGTCCCATAGGCTCTCGGCCGGGAACCTAGCCCCCTGATTGGAGCGGGCTAGGATCCGCATAGTCCATTGTCTCTTGGAGTGAAGCTCGACGTTTGTGCCCGACCGCGTGGATACATTACAGTTATGGAGACATTTTGGCCTGAAAAGGGTTAATAAAAGTGTGAAAATGCCACATTTTTATTTCTAAAATATTGTTCTCCTGTGTCTGTAAGGCATCCCACTGTTGTTGTTTTTTGCAGTACTATTGTTTGTTTAATGCCCGTTGCAGCCTGTTCCATGGGTTCTGGAGTCATTTTGGCCTGGAAAGGGTTAATAAATGCACAACATTTTTGTGTTTTGATTTCTAAAATACTGTTTCGGAGTGCCTTTAATGCATCCACAGTTTTTTGCAGTACTATTATTCATTTAATGCCCATTCTGTGGTTTTCCACAGGTACTTTGGCATGGAAAGGGTTAATAAATCCACATTTCTGTGTTTTGATTTCTAAAATATTGTTCTGGAGTGCCATCCCACTGCTTTTTTGTGGTATTATTATCTGTTTAATGCCTGTTCCATGGTGTTCTGGAGGCATTTTGGCTTGGAAAGGTTAATAAACACACAATATTTCTGCATTTTGATTTCCAAAATATTGATCTGAAGTGCCCTTTAACACATTCCACTGTTTTTGGCAGAGTTACTTTTTGTTTACTGTTCATTCCTGCCTGTTCCAGCATTTTCCCTGTCCCATATCAACCTTGATTCCCAATATTTGAATTTGGAAAAAATCAAACAATCCCTTAACATCCCAAATCTCTACAAACTTTCTATGTTGCCCATGTAACAATGGTAACTTGCCCAGACAAAAGGAATCTGTAAACGCGTGGCTGTCGTCTGTATCACTTTTGTCCCGTTATTCCCTTAATCATGCAAACCTTCCTTCCCCCGGCTAGACTAGCGTTAGAGAAGTCAGTTAACTTTTGTTGCAATACTGGGACCCGTAGTTTTGTAACAGCAAAGGGTTGTGGGAGTTGTAGTTTGTAGTCCTTCAGTAGCTAATGGCTGACTGCGATAAGGTAGTGTGCCAAGCTTGCTTTTTTAAAATCAGAAAACGCATGACAATGAAAGACGGTAAACTCATGAAAATTCACAGTGTCAGCATTATTTCTTATATTTTAATGTGCATAAACTTTAAGTGCAATGATTATGATACTGTTAGGACTTCATAGTCGTTTTGTTTCTTTCAATACCCACGACTGAAATCCTTCGCACATTCGTTTAGGAGCAAGCGCTATTGGATCCAGAGAAGCTTACTTCCTAGTAAACTTCAATAGGAGCAGTCTCCAAAATGCGCATCAAGACGGGGGTTAAAAATCTGTTTTGCTCTTTATTTTCAGTGTTTATTTTAACCATGTTCAAAATTTTCGTCGGATAGGTTGAGCCTGTGTTTACTCCGAAGTGAGTCCCACGGAGCTTAATGAGCTAGGGTTGCGGCTTTCTCCTATATGCTTACTTGGAAATAGCCCCTTTCAGTGAATATTCTCCGGGGGTGAGAAATAAGTTAAACGAAAGTCCACTTTAATTGTATTTAGGCATCTATTATTCAGAACCTAACTAGTTATACTAAAATTTACAGTGCAGTAGTTGATTGCACCTGTGCCTGTTTGCAGATGTAAATAAGTGTGTCGTTATACTGCAGTTCATAATTCAAGGGTTTTGAAACAGGGTATTCAGGGTAAATATGCATGATAAAGCATCCATATGGTTTTCATTACAACACATGTGAACACCAGGATGACCCCCACAAACTCCCTATGTTGAGTGGTATCAGCAAAATGGTAGCACTGTGCTGCTGGGGCAGGCAAATGACTTGTCAAGTGGAACAGCTTCCATGTGGTTGGTTGCCTTTAAAGTGGCCATTTGGCTTCTTGTTCATGTTTGTTCTTGGCCCTAAGAACTTTTGCTTTGTTGTGTCTTTTGAGCACTTCACTATGGTCATTTATTATGCTCCTGTCAAGGTGGCATTTCCATGTTCACCAATGACTGGAGGATTCAGTATTTTTGAGGAAACAGCTGAATTGGCCAGCTGTGGAACAGGATGTCCAGAGGGACGATGATCACCCACCTACTATGTAGGGGACCATGGACATCTGCTATTTTTCTCCTAATCACTGGAGGTGGAAAACAGTAGAATTACCTCTATGGAAGTGAAATTTAGACATTGCTGCACAATGCCAGTTGCATTATAATATGAACTTTTGGCATGATTTTAAAACTCACTCATTATAAATGTAAGCTTGTATAGATCAGGATGTGTATATTTTAGAACATGTTGGGGTGGGAGTAACAGAACCAATATTGAACTAGTTATGTGTGTTAGACGTTCTAACAATATGTATTCAGTCACATAGAAACATTCTTGTGGCTTAAAACGACAAAGTGAAAAACTACCCTTATTGTCATCCTAAGGCCAAATTTGTTTCTACAGCTGCTTCTAAAGAGCCTGGAAAGTAACTGTGAAGAAAAGGCTTGCCTGTTGTTCATGTATCTTGTTTCCTTGTTGCTGCATTCACTTTGTTCCTTTTTATTTCTGCTGCCACGCTTTCCAGATGAAGAAACAGGGAATGGTGTATATTGGCTGTATTGTATGCACACCCTCTCTGCCATTCAGAATTTAGTCTTTAAAGGGCCAGCACACCATTAAAGCCATGGATGTGTGGAAAAAAGCATACACATGCATTTACTGTAGCAGTCTGGTTGACTATTTTGATTTGTATGCTTATTTGTCTTCCCATGGATGGAAAATCAGCTTAGCAATCAGTGATTTTAAGTAAAAAGATAAATTGTCAGAAGGAAAAGGGCTAAATAGGGGTTAAGTAATTGCCCCCCTCTCTCAAACTTGAAGCCTAGCTGACTGCCTCTGTGCCCCGCACAATGCCTATTGTGACTTCTATGGTTGGTCATTTGACAGATTAAAAAAATGGTGAATTGCCTGGTCAAATAACTTTGGCACACAAGAGAAATTTAGTGTAATTACAAAAACCCTAATGCTATGAAACAATGACATTTAATTCTAAGCCATTGCTGTTGATTATTTGTAACTGATAATGTCATATAGATATAAACAAGAAGGGGGACCCGCAATACTTGCGGGGGGAAGGAGCTCCACACAGAGGAGGAGGAAGCAGCTGCAGGTAAGCCTTCTTCCCCTCCCGGCACCAACGGTGTGGCCCGTGCGGCCAAGCCTTCCCCCCGGAACCAATGGCAAGGGCCACGTGGCTCCTGCTGGGTCTGCCAAACCTCCCCCCTGCACCAACGGCAAGGCCTATGCGGCTGCCAGCCGTTGGGCCCACCAAGCCTTCTCCCGCCTGCCCCCTCTCAGTGGTGGCGGCGAGGCAGTTCTCAGAGCATTCTCTGTGCATGTGCAGGGAACGCTCTTTTACTTTTGGGGGGATTTAAGTATCCCCTCTATAGTTTTTTTTATAGATTTCAGATTTTTCTGCACATCTGGGGATTGCCCCAAATGTGCAGGAAAATCTCTCTGCCCCCTAGGTGCCCCTGATGTGCGGATTTAGATATCTGCACGCAGGGGGCGCCTTGGCTATTAGTATATAGACAAGAGGGGAGCCGCAGCAAAATGTTGCGTAATGTGTTGTAGCTTGCTTAGTCTGTAATTGCTGTATAGATTTTGTGTACTGTCAGTCTCCCCTACATACAGTGTTATTCCTTCTCTCTGTTTGTCTGTCCCCACAGCCTGGGGAAGGCGCGAGGTGACCAGAGCCTCACTTCTGACAGGAGCAGTGAAAAATGTGGAACCTTGCTGCCACTCCCCCAACACTGCTGTCCAGTGACAGTGATTAAATGTATATACTGCTTGTCATGAGACAGAGTGGGGACCAGGCTGGGGTATAAGCAAGTTCTTAAAGTAGTGTGAAGATGTCCCTCCTTCTGAAGCCATCTAAGAAACTGGCCTATATTGCCAAACTTGTTGCAGTGAGTTCCGTAAGTTCACTGTATGCTATCCTAGGGGGGTTTTCTTGGCAGAGTAGGGATTTAAACTTGGGTCTTTTATTTTATTTATTTGATTTATACTTGATTTATACCCTGCCCCCCCCCCCAACCATTAGTGGTGGGAAGTGCTGTCAGGTCACAGGCAACTTATGGCAACCCTGTGGGCTTCCTAGGCAAGAGCCTAATAGAGCTGGTCATTAAACGAAAGTCCACTTTAATTGTATTTAGGCATCTATTATTCAGAACCTAACTAGTTATACTAAAATTTACAGTGCAGTAGTTGATTGCACCTGTGCCTGTTTGCAGATGTAAATAAGTGTGTCGTTATACTGCAGTTCATAATTCAAGGGTTTTGAAACAGGGTATTCAGGGTAAATATGCATGATAAAGCATCCATATGGTTTTCATTACAACACATGTGAACACCAGGATGACCCCCACAAACTCCCTATGTTGAGTGGTATCAGCAAAATGGTAGCACGTGTGCTGCTGGGGCAGGCAAATGACTTGTCAAGTGGAACAGCTTCCATGTGGTTGGTTGCCTTTAAAGTGGCCGTTTGGCTTCTTGTTCATGTTTGTTCTTGGCCCTAAGAACTTTTGCTTTGTTGTGTCTTTTGAGCACTTCACTGTGGTCATTTATTATGCTCCTGTCAAGGTGGCATTTCCATGTTAACCAATGACTGGAGGATTCAGTATTTTTGAGGAAACGGCTGAATTGAGGATGCATGGCCAGCTGTGGAGCAGGATGTCCAGAGGGATGATGATCACCCACCTTCTATGTAGGGGACCATGGACATCTGCTAATTTTCTCCTAATCACAGGAGGTGGAAGTGAGAAACTTGTGGGGAGGGGGCATTCCCCCCTTTGCTCGCCCCCCCCTTGGCATCTAAGTGCTCCCTGGCGGCTTTCCCTTTCTCTCCCCTCCCCTTCAGCCAGGCCAGCCCACCTTATCCCCCAGCAGTGCCTCACTCAATCCGGTGCTTGCCGTCGCTGTCGTCGTGCTGTGGCTGCTCTCTGCCGAGCACCTGGAGGAGCAGGCCCAGGCCCAGGCCCAGGCCCAGGCCCAGGCCCAGGCCCAGGTTGAGTGGAGGTGGCGAGGGCCACATCTAGGCCTAGAGCAGAGAAAGAGGCAGTGGCGGGGAGAGCTGGAGGAGTGCTGCTTTGTCACCTCAGGCACTGGCCGAGGGGACGGGGTGCAGCCGGCATGGCTGAGACATCTCCTTCCCTTGCCGAGAAAGGCGAAGGCCAGCGGGTGTCAGTCGGCAAGCGGTGGCTCCCGGGCGTCCTTCAGGTGGAGCATCAGCTGGGTGGGTTGGCCTCACAGCAGCAACTGCTTCTCCTGGCATTCCAAATGGTGGCGGTGGCAGCAGCCTCCCTAAGGCTCTCCTGCATGTTCTCCTGACTGGTTCTCTACGCAGGCACAGTGAATGCTGTTCTACTTTTTGGGTGGTTTTAACCTCCCCCTTAGGTTTTTTTAAAGGTTTGAGATTTTTCTGCACACCTGGGTATTGCCCCAAGTGTGCAGGAAATTCTCTTTGCCCCCCAAGTACCCCTGATGTGCGGATTTAGACATCTGCACAGAGGGGGTGTCTTGGCTATTAGATATATAGATGCTAGTAAGTGATAGTCAAAAGATGGAACTGCCCTCCCTGGTTTTTATCTTGTGATGCTGAGGATGGCCCAAATAAATGTTCTAAACTGCTCAGTATGTAGAGAAAACCCAAAACCTCTTTTTTTAAAATGTGGCAGGTTGGGTGATGCCTGCTCCTCAGCACAGTACCTGTTTGTGTATGCAGACTACAGCAGGGCCAGGGAGAAGAAAACCCAATTCCTGCTATCACTGCTGCCAGATGCCACTGTGATGCCACCGTAAAGGTAGGCCGCCCCCTCTGTAAGGGCTTCCTTGGGTAAAACAGCAGGTGGCCAGTTGGTGATAGTTGATCAGCCACGACTTGACTGTTGTCCTGAGCCAACTTCAGTGTGGGCAGCAGTACAGAGGGACGCACGTGTGCATGGCAGTGGCAAGAGAGGTAGGCTAGCAGAGTAGATGGACAACCAAAGCAGGGAGAGAGAGAAAGACCGTAGTGTAGTTTGTCATTTGGATGCTGATCCAGCTGCTGTTCAGCTTCTGGGAGTACATACCGTGCATAATCCTGCAGCATGGTAGCTATCTGCACAAATTCAGGTAAAGGAGCATATCCATGAACATTGAACGCAAACTGATGTAAAAGTGTTCTTGACAACTGTAGGGCATGGCTATACGCCAATGCATATAACTAATCCCCAGAGGCCACTTTTCAAAAGAAAGCGATCCAGTCCAGTTTCAGAACAATTCAGAACAAAGAAACAGCAGAGTAGTTGTTTAACCCTTTCCCTGCCAGCCCTGTTGTTCTTTGAATTATACCCGTTACTTTTGCCTCCACAGGGTTCCGTGTGTGTGTGTGTGTGTGTGTGTGTGTGTGTGTGTGGATAGATCTTTGGAACTCTTTCCTGGGCCATGGGGGCATAGGGTTGCCAACCTCCAGGTGGTACCTGGAGATCTCTCACTATTACAGTTGTTCTCCAGACAACTGAGATCAGTTCTCCTGGAGAAAATGGCTGCTTTGGAGGGAGAACTCTACAGGATTGGACCATGCTGAGGTCCCTCCCTAGGCCCTAAAAGGCCTGGGCCACACTCAGCTTTTGAGGTCTGCAGCCATTAAAGAAAAATTAAAAAGGCAACACATGATGTGCATAGAAACAAATTACAAAACTTAGAAAGTGCCAGAAAATTAATATGTCTAAATTTGAGGCCCAAACGTAATGGCCTTTCTGGCCACCCTTCTCAGTGGTCCTGGTTATATGCATTTAACTATCTTTGGTCATGTGGAGTCTTTATGTAACTGATCAGAAAATAGTCAGTTCTGTCCATTACAAATTATGCTTTTCTGTTGTTTACGTGAAAACGTCAACACTCTTATTTCAAATCCTTATACTGTCTTTGTCGTACTTTTTTTCTTGTCATACTTTTGTTGACAGGGACTTTACATTTCTAGGTCAACCAGTCACAACAGTTAGCTCATATCTCTCCTTTATCTCAGAAATATGAAACACTGGCAGCCTCAGTGATTTCAGGACTTTCTAGTCAGAACTTAACCTTGAAAGCACAATATGTGATGTTCCTTTTTAAGCCACTGATATTATTTTGAATAAACTGTGCTTCTGTTAACTTTTGAAGTAGAAACTTTTGCTTCTCAGATGCATATTACTTATTTGTGTTTTTTGTGCAGGGTTTCAGCTGATACAAGTCAAGGTTAATCACAGAAACAGTTGAAGTGTACAATCTAATATGGCACAGAAAAGCCACTGCTGATTGGTGACCTTGCAGAGTGGGTACTCAAAATGGATATGGGCATCGTATTGTGGAACAAACGTCAAGTTGCAGTCATAGTCCTAAATGCATTTACTGAATATTCAAATATTTAACTTCCCACCCATGTTCTTAATCGGTAGGGTCCAAAGAAATCTGAATGTGTTTTTTCTGAATATCCAAATTCATTCTTAGCTGCAGTAAATAAAAAATAGTAGTCTCTTCATGGAGTCTATGGAAGCTAACTTGATTTCCTTCTGTTCTATTTATGCTATAACGGGGTTTTTTCCTGAAGAAGAAAAAGAGATTGGATTTATACCTCACCCTTCACTATCTGAAGGAATCTCAGAGCAGCTTACTGTCTCCTTTCCCTTCCCCTCTCCAAAACAGATACCCTGTGAAGTAGGTGGGGCTGAAAGAGCTCTTTTGAGTACTGCCCTTGAGAGAACAGCTCTGAAATAACTTGTAACTGACCCAAGGTCACACCAGCAGCTGCATGTGGAGGGGTGGGGGATCAGACCCAGTTCTCCCAGATTAGAGTCCATGCTCCTAACCACTACACCAAATTGAATGGATGCTTTAACTTCGGGAACAGTAGGAGATGAAGTCCAGCCCTAGATATTCCATGTCTGACATCTGTCAGGATAAAGAAAAACAGACTTGCAGTGTGTGTGTGTGTGTGTTGGGGGAGTTTTCAGCTGAGTCTCAGTAATATAATGAGAATACTACGTACCATTGTTTTCAGTGGAACCTGAGCAGGATTTGGATCTGTGTGCATGGGATATTTACAAAGCAGTCAGTGTCACTTAGCCAAATAGCTGCTGGAATGTGCTGCAAGTGGAAGAGGATAGCCATCTCCATATAAAGCGGTGACAGCTGTCCCCAGACAGTAGAGTCTCCGCTCTGCATGACGTTCCAGCTGGGTGTTGTTCCTGCCACTCCGAGCTAAAGGACTCCCATTTCTGTCACTGAGAACTGTCTTGAATGTTCTGTCCAAGGAGTAGGGGTAGTGAACTTCTTGCATTCAAGCAGACTGGCTGGATATTTTTATCAGCTGATTCTGCTCCTATATATTTGAGGCACAAATGGATTGACTGAATATATTTCTAACTTTTTTTTTCAGGTGGCTCGTTAACCCAGCTAGTTTCTTATAAGTCTGACCAGTGCTGTTTGGTTCAGCCTCAGGTATAAGCCTTGACCTTACCAAAGACCCAGGATGTGGCTACTGAATTGGAAGGTGAGGACATTTTAGCTTATATAAGTTCTGAAAACTGTAGTATTAAAAAGAGAGAGTTCAGTACCTTCTGTGTCATTGATGGATGGCTCTTCAAGAAATTCAGTGCTTTGTTTAAAAGAAGAGTTGTTCAGTGCCACAGCTTGCTAACATTTGCATGTTTTCCCCCTATGAACGTATTGCTTTGCAAACTGGTCCCCCTCCCTTTCTGTACATGTCCGTTATTACATTTATACAGCTGCTTGTTTCTCAGCTTCAGGAAAATGCCAGCTTATCTCAAGAGATGAATGTCTGATCTTGTCCGCTTGTACTGTGCAGTTCCTAACGCCACGTGATCCTTGTCACTTATCAGAATAACAGAGCTGTCAATAGGCAATGTTCAAAACAAAGAATTGTTTGATAATATGGTTGGTTTATTAACAGGAAATGTTAAAGCAGACAAAATAATAAACTGAGTATTGCTCTCACTTTTGCTCTTAGAAAAAAGAAGCACCTCTAAAATGTAGGCTAAATATAACAACAGGGGGCGTGTCTGCATAGCTGCTGCTTTTTAAAGTCTTTTTTAAAAAAACACAACAACAACATGAAGCTTCCATGCAGTTCTGGTGGTAACCTGCCATTTGTCTCCAATGCAGATTTAGGCATGGTTTTGTAGTATTTTTAATCTGTGGTACATTTTAAAGGGGTCCTAATGGAAAAAATCTAGGAGTCAGTGATGATGATAGTTTTGGGTGGGGGAATTATCTGTAGAAATAGATGCTGAGTACCCAGTATGATGTCAGTGAACTTCTTCACAGAAGATCACAGTGATGATTCCTGTGAACAAATGTTTCAGGCACTGGTCACAGAAGTCATGTCTATAAGCCTTCTCTAAGCAGCTCCTTCAGTTCTGCACTGTTTGCACTTGTGTGAGCTATTGCCCCTGAAAATGAGAGCTGCACTAGGTCCCCCAGCTTTGTCCCTCTTGCTAAGTCATCCTCTGACTCAGGGTCTTTTGTCATATTCTAATATATTGACTATGAACCAGAAGAATGTTTAGCAAGCTCCATAGGTGCAGCACAGCTCTGGAGCCTTTTTTTGCTTGCCGGGTGTAAGAGGAGCTGTTATGAGCAGGGATGGGAGAGAAGTGATACTGTCACAGAATACGGAAATGTTATTAAATAATGTAAATTTATGTTCTGGGAAATGTAGTTGTTCAGTATTCTCCTTGTATACATTAGGGTTGCCAAGTGAGAACTCAGCCACAGCGGGGGACTCCCAGCTGGCGGCTGGAGCGCGCGCACCGCATCCACGTCGCCCGGAAGTGATGCGGGCATGCCGGGCATGCAGGGGGCGGGGCCATGACCATCCGAGGGAAAACCATAGAGTTTACCCTCGAATGACCGTGGCCCCGCCCCCAGCGTGCCCGGCGTGCCCGTGTCACTTCCGGGCGACGTGCATGTTGGGGTGGAGTTCCCCCTGGGGCCTGATCCGCCGCCGCCGGGGAACGGACCTCTGGGGCGGGGTTTTCCCCGCCCCCCGGGGGGACTTGGCAAGCCTAGTATACATACAGCCTTCGCAAGACAAAATTATACTAATGGGTTGGATCTAACATTTTGTTCAGCCTTGTTTTGGTGGAAACAGCATGTTCTATTGGTGGAATGCTTCATAGTTAGTGAAACCTTTGGACCCAACTCAGTGTCTCCTTGTCAACACAGGGTTGTTGTTTTTTAGGATATAATAAACAACGTCAAACATAAATCACAAACTTTTATACTTATACATCCTACCCTCCTCCCTTCCCCCCCCCTGCGCGGCTTCCCACAGTGCTCCAACCTCCTGCTCACTTCTTAGATCTTCTTCATCCCTCCCTTTTCTTTTCTTTACACAAATCTATAGGTAACTTATGTCAACACAGGGTTTAATAGGATAGGGGCCCTAGACTAAATCCCATTCATTGTTCTTTATGTTCACTTTCATTCACACAGGAGCAATCATTCAAACACACACACAGTCTCTTCTCCCGTCTCTCATAACCCATGCTTGAAATCTGCTGTTGTATGTAGAAAATACCATAATTCTGTTCTTCATGCTCGCAGCATTATACATTTTCTTAATATAGATTCAAGTACATCTAAAAGTATAAAGTATAAAATTAGGGGCATAATGTGAAGTATAATATGATGCGATTAGGAGGCAGCAACCATCTGGTAATGCTGGAGAACCCTTTGGGCCAAATTATACGTTACATAGGAAACCAGATCCCCCCCCCTTTTTAAAGGATGCAGAACAGTTGCTGGGGAGGGGGATGACATGAAAGAGGGGCCAGAACAGGTGGGAAAACTGATTTTGGTTTTTTTAGCACATGCTGTTTCCTGATTCAAACTGTCCCTCCAAACTTCTGTTAGGCACAAACAAATACCCTGGAGTGGCTAATAGCAGTTTCTGTGTGTGTGTGCGCGCGCACACACATGCAGTCTATATTTTGACTGGGGAAGAAGTTAATCCACCCCTTTTACCGATAGCACAGCATGAACCAAATCCTTCCCCCCCCCCTCAAAACCCTACCTTGATTCTGCTTTAAACCCTTAATTAAAATCAGGAGATCTGATTTGTTTCCTTCATAACATAGTTTTGTCCCTCAGATAAATTACACTACAATAAATATTCCACTTTGCCTGTGGCCTTTCTCCTATGCATGACCCCTAATCCAGGCCTTTGAAGGCAATATGAAATATTAGAGATGTCATAATGAGGTAATTATGGCCTGTCACTGGAAATACATTTGACTTGCCAAACCTTTTAAATAAATAAATTTACCTAAATCTTAGAAAATTGTCATTCTATAAATGGATAGAAGAGAATGCCATGCAAACTTAAAAACGTTCAGAATAGGTCAGATGCTGGAAAAGGGGGCCTTTTTTGTTGTGTCTCCAAAACTGGAACTCTTCCCTACCCCGAGAATATTGCCTTGATACTTAATCTACGGTCTTTTAGGCACCAAGCAAAAAATATTTTTATTTTACCATGGTTTTAGGGAATTTGTCTTTCTACTTTTCCCTCAGAACGTATGTGTCCTGCTTTTACTTTGACAATGGATTTTAGGCAATTTCTCCACTTCTGTTTTTCCCCCTCTATACATTTGTATTTAATAGTTTTACTTGATGAATTTTATCAGACAATTTTATGCTGCTATTTTATGTTTTTATATTATGAATCTTTAATTTTTTAAAATTATGTTTATGTGAATGTTCTGAAACATATTTCAATGGAGAACGGGGTGTGGATATTTTAAGTAAATCATTACTTTCATTTATGATCGAGTGGTGAAAAAAATATAAGGCTTCTGGCATCTAGTTTAGTAATGAATCAATGAAACTGTTTATTATCCTATCCTGTAAGATCCAGTGGTACATGTTTTCTGATTGCACACATGTTTACATACCTGAGGAATAAGAGATCCTCAGTGGAATTTTAACCAGAGGTACTCCCATCTAAGTCCACTGAAATCAATGGACACTGCATGTTATTTATCTGTTAACTGCAGTAAAAGGTGTCCTGGCATGCTAATAGTATCCCTTCTGAGGCAGTTTTGGTAGGGTTGCCAGGTCCCTCCGAGCACCCAGTGGGGGGTGGGAGGTGCACTTACTGGGAGCCGGGAGGAACACCCGCCATTTCAGCAATGTGCCTACATGACCAGAAGATGTAGGCACCTCAGGGGATAACACTCTGGTTTTGGGGCAAAACTCTATGGAGATTTTGCCCCTAAACCAAAGCTTCACCCCCAATGTGCCTATGTCACTTCCGAATCACATAGGCACGTTGCTTTAATTTCCGGTGTTCCTCCCTGTTGGGGCGGGGTAATTTCCCCCCACTGGCCAGCTGGCTGGTGGCGGAGAGGTGGGGCCTGGCAGTGGGAGACCCCTGCTTCCACCAGGGGGTCTTGCATCCCTATGTTTGGGCTAAATTTGACCAATCAAATATATTTAGGTACATGTACACTCAAGGTTTTTATGGGAGTTTGTCTTTAGTTTGTATATTGGATAGGTAAAACATATTTACAAGTTGCAAAGCCATCCAAATATAATTTGTTTCTTGCATGCTGATTATTTAATAAACTTGTTTATAGTTGATTACAACCAATTTCATTACTTCTGTATAAAAAACATTTATGATTGCTAGACATTATGACAGAAGATATGCAGTTATTTCTGTTCATTTTGTTATTATTAATTGTTTCTTTCGGTGGTTAAACTTTATCTTGTATGTGTATGGATTTGCTATTTTAAACCTATGATAAATAGTGTGTGTTGGGGAAAAATAGGAAATAATTTTGCACTCTGCGCACTTGTTCAAAATGCTTAGAGCAGAATGACATGAAACACCTAGTTCCAGATTATTACTGCTTTTATCTCTGCTAGGGAAGACTATAGTACACAGTATAGGGCTAGATCCACTTTGCTTTTCCACTGGTGAAGTGTGTGTGTGTGTGGGGGGGAGGTTATGCTGGGGGTCCTGGGATCTGCATGCACAAAAGCCACGTGGAGGGGAATTGGGTGAGAGAGACTGAAAAAGACTGTTGTAGGGAGGGGAATTGGGTGAGAGAGACTGAAAAAGCTGTCTGGATTTCATCCATAACTTTCCCTCCATGGGGTAAAAGCATCTTGGAGGTGGTAAAATGGCTTGTGAGAAAAATGTAAAATATGCCCTCTCCCCACCTGTTTACTCCTTTTAAACTGAAGCCTCTGCAGCTTCATAGTATGTCTTTCTCTTTCTTTTTTTAAAAGCATACTACACAAATTATGCAATTCTGTGTTTATCCTGTAATTGTTGTGGTTGAATGTGTGTTTATGTGTGTTTTTCTCCGCCATTTTAGGTGATGGAAAATTTTCCACTGCTTATGTACATTTTAGCAGCTAAAACGCTGATCCTTTGCTTAGCGTTTGCTGGTGCAAAAATATACCAGAGGAAAAGGCTTGAAGCAAAAATGAAAAAAGAACAGGAGGAGAAACAGAAAGGGGAAGCTGAGAAGAAACAGAACTGAGGAGTCTTAAGAGGTACGGTCAGATTGGCATGACTGATACTTGGTAATGTGGAAATGCCTCATGGTGGCTTTACTAACAGCAGTGTGTTAATTTAGCATCCTTCAATCATTCAGAAGGGGGAAAATTGGGTATACTGCTCTTTTGTCTTACATATGCTGGTACAGAAGACCTTGGTTGCCTGCAGAGGTCATTTGGGGGGGGGAACGTGGGGGATCGCAGTTCCCCCGGGTGAGGTGCAGGGGGGCGCGGGGCACATGACAAAGCCCCGCCCCCTGCTTCCGGCCGCCCCGTTTCCGGCCCTCATTCAGCCAGGAGGAGGCAGGAGAAGAGGGAGGGTAAGTTGCTTCCTCCTCGCCTCTCCCCACCCCTGCCTGCCAGGGGCAAGGGAGGGCCTTGGCAGGGCTTCCTCGCACTCCCGCTGGCCTTGCAGGTCCACCGCCAGGCCCCTCATGGGGCGCGGCAGTGGAGCTGCAAGGTCGGCGGCGGCGGCTGGGACCGTTGGGGGCGGGGTGTGTGGCCTTATGACACACTTCCGGTGATGTCAGGGGGTGTGGCATATGCTAATGAGTTATGCTAATGAGTTCCCCTAGCTCTTTTTCTACGAAAGGACCCCTGGTTGCCTGTATCTGAGGGACACTTCACATATTTCAGAATTCCTACATCTCCTACCTAATGGGGCTGCTTTCTCCTATATCAGTTTGTTGAGAGTCAGTTCTGAGGCTTCTTCCACATGCCCAGTCAGGTGGCAACTAGGGAGACAGCCTTTTAGGTTGAAGTGCTCCGTTTATGGAAAACCTCTTTTCAGACAAATCTGTGAGGTGCTTGTATTGGCTTTGTTCAGTGCCAAATGAAAACATGTTAATTTGCAAAGGCTTTTAATTGACTGTTGTGTTTATTAAAATATATTTGCTGCTGTTTGCTTTCATTGTTGTTTAATTTGAAGTTGACTTTTGCTTCAAACATAGGAGGATGCTTTGCTTGGAGCCCAAAATTTTCATGATTGAAAATTTTCAAAATTGCAGCACAACTTTTCATGACTGAACAAGGTTCCCATAATAGCACAGTAGCTATTTTTTTGTTGTGGTTCCCCATCTCTGTTCTCCAAGTTCCAAAAGTGCCCACGGTTTCAACAAATTTTGAAGCCCCTGATTTAAACAAATGGGTGGCTTCATATTGGATTTGCTCTCCCTAAGAATACTTTGGTATTTCCCAATCAGGAACCCTTTGTGAATCAGGAACCCTGACGGGATGAAAAGTAGCTGGAGGGAGGTTGAAGGGAGCAAAATAATGGGTTGGGAGAAAAGGCTAACCACCTCTTGTTCCATCACTTCTCTCCACTACAACACAAGCAGTGGCCAGGATTTCATAACCTGATGTGGCTATGGGTAGGGATGGGCACGAACCGAACCATGAAGCAAGATTTATCATTAATTTTGCTCCATTCATGGTTTGCGAACCAAAGTTCATGATGGGTCTATCATCACAAACTTCTATGAACTTTTAAAGCGGTTCCCTGCAAAAGCTGCAAAAACAGTTGAGCGATGGGGAGTGCCTCCCTGCTGCTCAGCTGGTTTTTGAGGTTTCTTGTGCAGTCCCTGCACAAGAAGCTGTAACAGCTGAGTTTCAGGGAGCGCCTTCCTGCTATTCAGCTGTTTTCCGAGGTTTCTTGTGCACCTTTTAAATTGACTGCCCAAGAAAGTGAAAGAATTGAGGGGCCAGGAGCACCTCCCTTCCACTCAATTGTTTTTCGGGCTTTCTTGTTCACCCCCCTTTAAAAGGGCCTCAACAAAAAGTTTAAAAAAGGGGGGGGGGGGGGGGAGGCAGGCTGCGCCCTGCCACTTAGCTGGTTTTGTTTTGTTTTTGCTTTCTGCAAACCCCGTTTAAAGGTACTGCGGTCCCTTTCAATGGGGTTTGTGGGGCCACGAATCACAAACCAGTTAGATTCGCAAATGAGCCTCCTGGTTCAGTTTGTTGCTGCATTTTCCCAGTTCATGCCCATCCCTAGCTATGGACATATAGTTCCATCCTGAGACATAATAGCATGAAGACCTATGACATGAGTCTTGTACATGTCCTACTATGGCATCATAGCTGAAGAATTTTCCTTCTGACTGTACATGTGGCTTTCCCTGTAGGAGGATAAGCTGATTTTTATCAGCTACTGCAAATGTAACTACTGTTTTTTGTGCGGATTTTTAGACTTTTGGCAGTTTGCTTGGATTCCTTTTCTGGGAGAGTTGATGACTTCAGTGAAACACAAAGCTTTGCCGGAGGAATGAAGTTTCAAGAGCAACATTCACTTAAATAACATGTTGAATTTTTTTTGTATATTTAATAAGAACATTCTGTTGGCTATTTGTACAATAAAAGCTCTCTTTGTAAAACACTAATGACTTTTACTGGAAATTCTTTATGTAAGGTTACTATTGTTTTAAAAAAGCATTTAAAATTGTCTGAATGGATGTTGTTTTCTCCAAAGCAGGTTCTTGTTAAAGTGCATTATAATTTGCTAAATCTAACTTCTGTGGGCACCAAGTGAGTTAAATATAATCATAATGTCTCATTGAAACAAATGGGACTTGAGTTAGTCACAATTCACTTGTTCTGTTGGTTTCAGTGGGCCTTCATGGTTAATTATAGGTGGACTGGGTTTCTTTGGATACAGTTTAGTTTTCAGTGGAATGGAGAAGAAAAACAGGATTTTACATTCAGTTGAAAAGGCAGATTTTCCTCACCTCTGGAAGTATTTTGTCATCTTGGCTTTGAAATGTAACCTTATCTACCAAGCTAAACTCTGTACAAAGTTAGGACAAAAAACTTGTTTCAGTTGGAGAGGTAAGTGCATGTGTTTTGCTCTCTCCTTCCTGGTGACTAATGCTCTCTCTAAGCTGTGGAGTCTTGTGAGCAAAAATTCTACTTTGTGAGCTACTGGCATTAAAGTTGTGAGTGAGCAATTTGGCTGCTGCATAAATTAGTTTGCTCTGGAGTCATCCTTCCTGAGCTAAGACAAAAATGTGTGAGCTGGAGGCTAAAATACTGTGAGCTAGCTCATGCTAACTCAGCTTAGAGGGAACACTGCGTGGTGACATGTAAGCGCTTAATGGCCATTGGCTTGAACATGACCTTTTGATTGTCTTTGAAACATCTCTGCAGGGCATGTTATTTTAGGTTGCCTGAGTTCATAACAAATATTCCTACCAGATAATGGATGTATAGCTATCTAGGATGTTAGTATTAGTGACGGGTCATCGTCTCTGAAGGTAAGGAATCTAATGGTTCCATGACAATTATGTTGAATTACTTCTTTATTCTATACCCAAACTAGTTATCTACCTCAGTGGGAAAGTGTAGTCAAGGTTTTAAAGACTTATAATGCTAAACAGGACTATTGAGGCACCTTAAATACTAGCATGTTGGACTTCCGGTTTTGGCGATCTAATGGCCAAATGGCGATCTCTTGGGAGCTCCTGAGGACGTGATCCGTGAGCCGGCAGATGAGAGTGGGTGAAATTGTATGCGCCCCCACTTGGGCCCTTGCGAAGGGCTCCTAGCCATGGGGCACTAAGGATCTCCTCTCCTCCGGCACGCTGCCAGTGGATTGAGGTGTTCTGATGCCCACTGGACTCAGAGACAAGCGTGTGGAGGTCGAGCATTTTACACGTTTGATGGTGAGATCTAAATGATCTACACTGAGAGTGAGTTTGGTTGAAATGAGAACCAGAGAAAGGGCAGAAAGTCCCCCCTAAAGTAAGCAAGGGGGAGCGGGACCCCCCAATGGAAATAAAAGCAGACTTAAAGCATGTCACTTAAAGGGGGGTGGAATTGAAAGCAAAATGGGACTATAGTAAGGAACTTACAAGAAAATTACAGGCGATTTGCAGACTTTAAAGACTTTTGGCAAATTTGTTAAAGGTAAACAGATTCAAAGATGTCGCTGAAGAAGATGGAGAAAGATAAGCAAATGAAACCTAAGCTTCCTTCAGGAAGTGCTAGCTCAGTGAGTGCGGTCACGCGACTGGAAACAACCATAGACTTCTGTAAGATGCTAACAGAAGCATTGCGGCCCCTGCTGGAGCAAATGATGACACACAGTCAAAACTTTGCTGCACAGCAACAGCAGCTAGAAGAGACTTAAAAAAACCCAGAGCAAACAGCTGAGAATCTTAAAGAAGTGGATGCCAACACCAAAAAGCTTAAAAAGCAAATGCAGGAGATGGAAAAGAAGAGAAATTCTGATGAAGCCCAGCTTTTACAGCTCCAAATAGAAAAGGCAAGCTTTACACTGAGATTTCAGGGAGTTCCAGAGA